AGCGAAACACCATGAGGTACAGTTACAAACTTACAAACTTGCATGCTTGGGTTTCAGTTATACAATGATCAAATACCCACTCCTCTACCAGTGCCCATTCTCAACCACCAATAATCCTAGTAGCCCTTTTAATCAAATATCTATGAAAACTGCTGATCCACTCTAGGAAAGTGTTCTTCTCTATTATCTCTTCTTTTGCTATTGGCCTTCCCATTCTGCCTCATTTTTGCCTACAAAAACCATTGCTTGAGGTTGGGGCGATAGCACAGCGGGTAGGGCATTTGCCTTGCACAAAGCTGACCTGGGTTTGATCCTGGCATCTCATATGGTCCCCCAAGCATCTCCAGGAGTAATTCCTGAGTGCAGAGCCAGGCATAACCCCTGTGCATCGCCAGGTGTGACCCCAAAAGCAAAAACCAAACTAACAAACAAAAACAAACAAAAACCAAAAACCCATTGCTTGAAGTTCCTTCTATATTCCAGCTATGACTGTGTGATTCATGAACCATTTAGTAAGGATAATTATATGTCTGGGCTGGAGTGATAGCATAGCGGGTAGGGCGTTTGCCTTGCACGCAGCCAACATGGCTGACCCGAGTTCCATTCCTCTGCCTCTCTTGGAGAGCCCGGCAAGCTACTGAGAGTATCGGGCCGCAGGGCAAAGCCTAGCAAGCTACCTGTGATGTATTCGATATGCCAAACATAGTAACAACAAAGTCTCACAAAGGAGACTTTACTGGGCCCACTGGAGCAAATCGATGAACAACGGGAGGACCGTGACCGTGAATTATATGTCTAGACTACCTTGGATGATTTTGTTTCTAAACATCATTTATTGATTTTGGCTGGAGCGATAGCACAGCGGGTAGGGCTTTCGCCTTACAAGCGGCCAACATGGCCGACCCGAGTTCGATTCCTCCGTCCGCCCCTCTCGGAGAGCCCAGCAAGCTACCGAGAGTATTCGATATGCCAGACACAGTAACAACAAAGTCTCCAATGGAGACGTTACTGGGCCCGCTCGAGCAAATCGACAGTAACAGTAACTGTCTGAGGGGCTGGTGGTGTTTTTCAGATATAAAGCACTTGTAAAGCTATTTGATTTAAAAATGTATTTATAATTTTATTTTAAATTATTTTTTTAGAAACTAGAGTGTTAAAAATTAAATACCTTAATATAAAATAAATAAACAGATTTGCAAAAATATATACTATATTTTATATATTTTAATTTTTAGTCACCACTCACAGTGGAATGAAGGGGGGGATCCTATATTCAGTGATGACAAATGAGCTGATGAATATCCTATTGTATATTGCTCTGTAGAGTATATATATCATATATGTATTAATTTAATTTTAATAAAATGTGTATATAATTTTTGCATAAATATTGTGTGAGAAATTACTTAAAGGGTATAATTTAAATATTTTAATAAATAAAACATATCATTATTAATATATTACTAATATATTATTAATTTTATCCTTATTTTAAAATATCAAAACATTATTCTATTTCTATATTCCTCATCAAAATTCTGGAAATCAAAATGAACATTATTCAGCAAAACAGGAATTAAGCTCCTATTTAACTCAGCAATTCCATATCTTGGAATATGCCCTAAGGGGTCAAAAGCGCAATGTGGAAAAGACATTTGCACTTCTATGTTCATCGTAGCACTATTCACCATAGCCCAAATCTGGAAACAACCCAAATGTCAAAAAACAGATGATTGGATAAAGAAATTGTGGTGCATATACACAATGGGATATTACTTGGGCATAAGAAAAGATGAAATCATGCAATTCGCTGTTCACTGATGAATCTAGAGAGTATTTATGCTGAGTAAAGTTAGTGTGAGAGAGAGACACTGATAACAAATGATCTCCCTCATATGTGGACCATTAAAAAACAGTCGGTAAAGAATAAATGTACAAAAGCAATAAAAAGGAAGAACATGAGAGCTAGTCTTCAGTAGGAAATTTGCCACTTTGGGGCGAGGGGGATAGGGCAGGGAAGAGGACACTGTGACAATGGTGGGGGAAGTGACCACTCTGGAGGAGGGAGCGAGTGCTGAGGGATGGGAAAGTGTTAAGCATGAAACCCTATCAAAAAGAATCATGCCAATCACAATGCCTAAAAGTTCTAGTTAAAGTGCCTGTCATAGAGGCAGACTGGAGGTCAGGAGGAGAATTGGGGACATTAATAGAGGGAAGTGGACAGTAGTAAAGAGATTGGTGCTAGGATATTGTATGCCTGAAACTGAAACATGAATAACTTTGAAATTCACAGTCACTTAATATTTTTTTCAAAAGCTATCTAAGTTACTTTCGTGAACATAACACATGAGAAAAATCAATCTCAAACTAAAATTCTTAATTTTTGTTGCCACACATGCACCAAAAAAAAAAATGGGGTGGGCTGAGATATACGTCAAATACACAGGGTGTCTTTTGCGGTCCTGCAAGAAGACAATGCTTATGGCCTAAAAGTGAATCTGATTAGAAGATCTCCAAGAGTTTTTCTGATTCATGCAATGGTTTTGCAAGACACATCTGGTTCTGTTTCATCTAAAATACAATGTGGGCCGGAGAAGACGCTTGTACAAAGTACAAGAACTAGGATATGGAAACAATTCAAATACCCAATGACAGATAAAAATGCTGTGACATATATGTGTAATGGAATATTACACAGCAATAAAAAGATGAAATCTTGAAGTTTGCTGAAATTTTGATGGAACGGGAGGGAACTTAGATGAAATAAGAGGGAAAGCAAATACCAGATAATGTCAGAGGTGATAGGTGGTAGGTGATTAATCAAACAAGCAAATAAAGCAGAATGATGACAAACTCTTGCCTTGGATTACAAAACTAAGATAATCAAGCAGTTGGGGAAGGGTATGGAAGAAGTGAAAACAAGATTAGAAGATACAATGTAAACTTAAATTTGCTAAGAAAAATAGAGAGCACTGCTACATTCCCCACCAAAAATAGAACTCCTTCTGTCTTGTGACCTCAACCACAGGGTCCCTGCAAGGAGACAAAGGATAGCTAGATGACTTCTTGTTTTCTTTCTTCTTTTTTAAAGCTTTTTTAAAAACTATTATAATTTTAGTTTAGGTAATGAGGGTAAAATTGTGTTATATTTTGATACACAAAATAACTGGACCTTTACCGCCATCAGTTTCAATGTACCCAAGACCTCTCCACCACCTTACATTTTTTTTTTTATGCTTGTAGTGTTGTTACAACATGCCAGCAGCAAAGTAACAGGATCTCTCCACTCCACCATTATCTCAAGGTCACTTCCCATCCCTCTGTCCCTCCAGCCTGCTCTTTCACAGCTGTAGTGATCAGGTCTTCGGGTGAAAACATCCAGATGTAACACTGAGAGGAAAGATTTAACACCAGGAATTGACACAGATTTTATTATTATTATTATTATTATTATTATTATTATTTTATTCTCGAAGATTACCTGCAAGGCCACAAATTAGTTCAGGAGAGGGCATAAAGTGAGATGTTGTGGGCGGACCGAAGAGGGGCAGCATTGCACATGTGAATATGAGGTTTAAAAAACAATTTTTTAAAACACAATGCTTGATTCCAGTTAGATGTCAGTGAAATTTTCATGGAAAATGAAAAGGAACTTAAAATTGTTTATTAAAAAAATTAGCCTTAGTTTCTTGCTTCTCCCCGCCCCCTTCTTTGAAGAATTCCTGTGTTTATTAATTTTTTTAGTTGTGCTCACACATGTTCTGGTTGTAGCTGAGAGTCCCGTCCCCTCACAGACCTCACTGTATCTGGTACTCAGGCATCTTTAGTTGGAATTCTTCTCAGGGAGTCAGACTCTTTACTGGAGGTGCTCCCACCCATGCGTTGGAGATCGCACATTTCGTGGCAGTGCCAGGGGTTCCAAACAGCGAGGTGTACCCGGACCTACTTACTTAGGAAAACCCTGATCCAAGCCCGTCACATTTGAACATCCAACCAGCTCACGCCCTTTCTTTGTCCCTTTCTTTGTCCCTCTAATCTTTGCTGGGTGAGCCCCAAAGCTCCACCCACTTGACAGTAGATAAATATCCCGCTCGCAGGAAGAGCACACTAAAATGAGTAGCTGACAGGCTACAGAAGACCCCTGGGGTATTCACCTGAAGACCAAACACAAGAACCTGAGCAGATCAGGGTCACCAGCCTGGGTGAGTGGCATCCATGTGTTGCTAAGTGGCAGAGATGGTGGCAGAGATGGGGTTGGAGTGTGAAAGGTACTATTTTGCATATTAATGTACATCTCTCTAAGTGGTATCCATTTTCTCTTTGACTTTTCAGGAAGCTCCTTCCTTGGCTCCAGTTCCAGACACTGGAAGTAAGTCATTTTCCTTTGCTCAGAGAATAGTGATTCTAGAACAATCTCACACAGTCCCAGTGGCTGGAGTTGGAGAATGGTGCCAGAGTGGAGAATCAGTGTTTGTCTTTTTTTTTTCTTTGCTTTTTGGGTTGGTCACACCCAGAAATGCACAGGGATTCCTCCTGGCTCATTCATTCAGGAATTACTCCTTGTGGTGCTTGGAGGACCATATGGGATGCTGGGAATCGAACCTGGGTCAGCTGCATGCAAGCCAAATGTCCTACCTGCTGTGCTATTGCTCCAGCCCCCAGTGATTGTCTTAAAAGCGGTAGTGAGCAGGGACACTGGAAAGATGCTGTCCCCTCTTATAGGCAGAAATGTCTTCTCATTCTCAGAAATGAATTGATTCATTCTAGTCCTTGCAGATGACTGCTCCACTTCATTTCTCTTCACATCTCCAAACACACGTAATTGGCTAATCTGCTGGACATGTGCTGGGCCCCAACCCCTGATCTGGAGGCTAGAGACTTGAAAAATTGTTATAGAGTAGCTGTCTGTGAGAGATATTGGTCATGGGACAGAGGTCTGAGTGTGTGACTTATTTCCAACAGCTGAGAGTTCTGGGAGGCTAACCTTTCCACACCTGAAGATGGCAGCATCCTCCGTCCTGACCACACTACAGGTGGAGATCATCTGTCCCGTCTGCCTGGAATATTTCAAAAACCCTTTAACCATCAACTGCGGGCACAACTTTTGTGCCTCATGCATCCATTTTTCATGGATGTATCAGCGGGGAACATTCCCTTGCCCCGTCTGCCGATATCCACACGAGGAGATACACTTCAGTGCCAACCCCCAGCTGAGCAGGCTGGTGGACCTGGCCAAGCTCCTCCACAGCTCCAAGAGTAGCAAGATGACACAGGAAGAGGAGTGCAGGTGTGAGGAGCACAGGCAGGGGATGAGCCTCTTCTGCGAGGATGACCAGAAGCTGGTATGTCCCCTGTGCGCCCAGGGCCCTGCCCACCAGGGCCACCACGTCAGGTCCGTGGCCGAGGCAGTGGCTCATCACAGACAGAGGCTCAGAGGGTACATCAAGCCCTTGAAGAAGCGGCTGGCAGGGATGCAGAAGCTTCTGATCACCCGAAACAAAAACCTTCTAGAACTAAGTGAGCAAGTGGAAAATGAGAAACTTCAATTAGCCTCTGAATTTTCTGAACTGAACCTGTTTGTAGAACACGAACAAGAGAGAACGTTATTCAAGTTGGATAAAGAAGACAAAAGTATTCAACAGAAACTCACTACCAACTTCACTGCAATTTCTGGATATATTGACACCCTCAACGGCCTGCTCAGTGAAGTGGCAGAGAAGAAGGTTACGTCTGAAGGAAGCATGCTGAGGGATGTCAAGAGCCTCCAGCACAAATATAACGCCTTGGAGTTCCCATCTGTGTGGACTGTTCATTGGAGACCGGAAGGCTGCTGTCTTCCTCCGCTGTGCTCAGAGCTCGAGAAAATCATCCAGAAATTCCAAGAAGAAGTGACTCTGGATCCCCAAAAAACACACCCCAGTCTGCATGTATCTGAAGACAGAAAGTCTGTGGTCTATCTGAGGAATAGGACAAAAGTTGAGGGAGAACCAGAGCGATGCCCTGATGATGTAGCAGTTCTGGGCTCTGAAGGATACCGTTCTGGCCGACATTACTGGCAGGTGCAGGTGGGCAACAAGTCTGAGTGGGCCGTGGGGGTGTGCACAGACCCCCCTGCTGGGAAAGGGCAGCCGCCCCTATCGGTTCAGAACAGATCCTGGACGGTCCAGCTGCAGGATGGCAACTACCTAGCTGGAGGCTCTGTACCTGTCCTTCTCTCTTTGAAGGATAAACCCACAGAGATTGGCATTTACCTGGACTATGAGTTGGGCCAGATTTCCTTTTATGATGCCAGAGATGGGTCTCACATCCATTCTTTACTGGAGAGGTTTTCTGATGTACTAAAGCCATATTTTCGAGTCGGCCAGGATTCTATCCCTCTTATAGTGTCTGCGATAAGAGATTCTACAGAATGAACTTTGCATCATTTTTCACCCAGTAATTTTTGGACAGCAAGTGGAATATTGTTTGATCATTGATGAAAAACAACAAATTTACAAAATTCAAATTTGACTTAAAACACTCAAATAGAATCTTCCCTTTTAATTTCTTTTAAATGTTATCATCTTGTTTTCAGTTTGATGACATTCCCGTAATTGGCAGATTTAAGTATTGATTTTATTCTCAGTCTGTAGCAAATAACTACTGAAGGCTTTGTGAAAGTTAGTACCACAGCCTTCTGAGATTGATCACTCCAGATGGAAATGGTAGAATACTGTCCCAAGGCTTGCAATTTGAAAGATGTGACAATCCATCCAGCATGTGACAATCCTTGCTGAAGGAGCATTGGCAGTGAATCATTTTTTTGGTGTGTTTTGAGTAGATAAGGAGGAAGTCTTACAAAGATCTTTGTGTAATGAGAACACCCACACCCTTGTCTGCATATAATTGGTTAGTAGAGATTGTATCTTGGATACTTTCTCTCTGATCAGTTTCATCTTCCATACACTGAATATATCACCAAGATGATGTTTATATCTGCCATTCTCTGTATGTTTTATAGAAAATTGTATAAATTTGTTATATGTACTCAACCATGCTTGCCCATCATTCATTTGACATCTTGATTAACTTTTTTAATAAGATTTTATATAATTTTAATAAACTTTTAATAAAAATTTTAATATGTAGAAATGTTTATTTCATCTTCATTATACTGGGCTCGGAGATGATTCCCTTTATTTTTCATTCTTGCTCATGATTGAGTTTTGGGATGTACACATCTTTCTAATAAAGTCCTCTTACTAAACCACAATTATCCATACTTGATGGCTGAGAAAAGGACAATTATAGTAACATCATCTTGGTCATTTTTTCATGATTTGGGAGGGGAGACACTGACCTCTGTGGACTATGTTCAAATAATTAAGGGAAAGACTTTGATGGATGAATATAGTCTTTTCAGGTAGAGGCAAGCATATTGGCTTCTTGTCTCCTAGGAGCCTTGGAAACTATATTTAGTTTTCTGAACAATGATAGGAATATCTTTCATTATGTGTTGACAACCTCAAGTCCACAGACCCTGAAGAATGCCTTATCTCATTTCAAGGGGGCAGATGCAAGAGTTTGTGATAGTTCCTTCCTTCTCAGGCAATTTAAAAGTAAGAGAAATATTTCCAGTTTAGACCCATGCCTTTTTTTCTGAGTCCCAAGCTAGTTCTTAACTTCCACAGTAACAATAACCAGATATAAATATGGTTTCAGTAGAACCATGGAACCATGGACTTTTTCATTACTCATTATCGTGGGATATTTACAGAGGTGTTGGAGAAATGGGGAGAGGGCCTACCTCATGCCTGTGCAAAAATCAAGAGAATAAATAGATTTCCTTGTTAGCATGAGGGGCCTGAGCAATAGTACAGGGGGTAGGGCATTTGTCTTGCACATGGTTGATCAGGGTTTGATACTGGACATCCCATGTGATCCCCTGAACACTGCCAGAAGTAATTCATGGGTCCAGAGCCAGTAGTAGTAACCCCTGAGCATTGTTGGTTGTGACCCCAAAAGCAAAAAAAAAATAGTAATGTGATTTGTTTCCTTTGGAGGACCTAAGCATAAGAGCTTCTTTAAGTCCTACTTTTATCTTTTGGCTATTTTATGATTCTAGAACCTCTATTTCACTGTACTAGTTTTAGGCTACTACCTAACTGGTAGAAATCTCCACCTTTAGGCTTTAGATCTGCCATTTTTCCCCATTAACATGTGCAACCTTTACATGGCATCCCATTCATGGCTATATGCTCATTCATGTGTTCATTCAACACATGTGTAACATGTTCACTACGCACGAATCTGGTTCACTATGTCACTATGCTTGGGAAGAAACACACTTATGGTCCCCCCCCCCACCCCTCGGAGATTGGAAGCTATGATCCACTTAGATGCATAGTGATTATTCGTCCTTTCAAAAAGATATCAAAACATTTCTGAGTTGATTTTTTATAACGGTGAAATGTTCTTCAAGGAAACATTGTGATTCTGTTGTAGTTTTTCAAACAGTACATTGCTTTTGGGAACTAAAGTGTCCTCTGAGGAGAAAGTGATGAGGGATGCTGCATTCTGCCATTTGGTGCACCTGGGCATTCAGGCTGCCTGGAAAGAGTAGGAACAACTAATTCCCCAGACCCCTGATTCCCCACCCATATTCCAGGATTGCGGGTCAACCAGAATGGTCTGACCCATAAATATGATACTATTAGCAGTTGAGTCCATTAGGAAAGATGTTCAAGTGAACTTGTAGAGAAGTTAATTTACTCCTTTCCAAGACCTAGGGAACACATGTCAAAAGAACAGCATTTCTTCACTCAAGGCTTGTTCGTTCAAGGATGGGTGCATTTGGTGGCTGATAACTGCCTCTCCAAGCCAGCTGACAGAAACAAACAGCAAAAGATGAACAAAGGAATGAGTGAACAAAAGAAAGGTCCACAGTCTGCTTAGAGAGTGGTAATCAGTGACCATTTATTCAAGTCTCAAGGCATTGGTTATATAGAAATCGTGAAGGATGGGGGTACACAAAGTTGTGGTTGAACATTATCATAACAATAAACAGATGTAAAGCTCTTCCTTCAGGGGAAGTTCTTCTAGGAGAATACTCAGGGATAAAATCTTATCTGGGGTATTAACACTCTAGATTATTAGATCTGCTCAAGGGTGGGATTCCATCTAGAGGCATATTGTCTTCTTTCCTTAGCTAGTAATTCATTTAAACAATCATATTAGATACTGATATTTCTAGTCATTTTATATGAACACAGTAAGAGATATATTAAGCTTAAAGGGTGTCTTTACCTGGGGACATCTCACTATTCATCTCAGACTACAGGCCTCAGGCCATGTTAGTCTTTCCTAACCCTATCAGGGTCCTTATTCAGTTACTTCTTTTGGGGTCATGACAGAGTTTATTCCATGATCATGCTCTTGTACTTCTTACAGTGCTGAGTCAGTTCCTTTTTGATGTCTACTAGAGTAGCTTATGGCTTTCCCTGGGTCCATCTAAGTCCCTCACCGGGACCTCCTTTTGGGGGTGTTTGAAAGTAGGGGCAACTGATGCTCAAGAAAATATTATGGATGTCCAGGAGTAAATATTATCTGGAGTCAATTAATCCACATGTTAGCATTAACTATTTTCCTGAATCTATACCAAAAGGACATTGCTCTAAAATAAGCTATGCAAAGGACATAAAGGAAAGAGAAAAACAATATAACAGATAAGGAAAAAAGAGAAACACAGAGGATTAGAAGTGTCTGATGGAATTGGGTATGCCTTGGAGACACTATGATGGGAGTAATTTATTAAGCCTAAACTCCCTTTGGGAGGAACAAAAACTAAAGTTATCCAACAAAAGTTCATAGAGAAATTGTAGAATTCTCACATCACCTCATATCTTCTGAGCAGTTTGCTATCCCTGATTCCCCTGTAACATGCTATCTTCAAAATTATTGGATATTTGGTTCTCAAGCTTCCCTTCCCAAGAGTGTTAATGCTCACTTTTTTCCTCAGCTCTAAGGTAACTTTAGTGACACAGGTAGATGTTTTTATAGATTCCTGTTTCTGGTCATATGGGATCTTAAGAGAAATTCAAACCCATAGAACATAAATTCTGACATATTATTGAGTACAGCCAAAGAAGATTGTGATGTGTGGAGATATTTCTGAGAATTTCTGTTAATCATATGATGTATATACACGATAGTTATAGCTTTAACTCATTGTTTGCTACTTCACACTAAGATTTTAAAAGTAGACATTGAACAATTCACACTCAATACAAATTGTAGTGTTCAGATACTCGGCTTCCTTCACAGAACTTGAGCAGTGTCGTAGGTTTATTTAGCAATGCGGAAGTTGTCCTATTAATTACCTGCTTGTCACACACTAATAATGTCAATATAATATCTGACAAGACCTTTACCCAGCTTTATTCTGACATGACTCAAAATCGAGAAATCAGTTTTAATATTGAAATGTTCATTTGACTTCCGATATCCAGACTCAAAATGAATGGAGGGAGCTTAGCACTATGATCATTGAGAATATATTGAAGTCACTGGATTTTGAGACTTAAATTGACTCCTTTCCTCTGCCTGGTTCTCTAACAGCAATATAATTTTTTATATTGCTTGACATGCTCAACACAGAGACACAGAAAGATTTAAACATCTGTTTTGTTTTGTTTTTTAATTTTTAATAGTGAGACATCATGAGGTACAGTTGCAGACTTACACATTTTTGTGCTTGGGTTTCAATTATACAATGATCAAATACCCATCCCTCCACCAGTGCCCATTTCTCACCACCACGGATCCCAGTATCCCTCCCACCCCCCATCCTCCCCATCCCACCCTTCCTCTGTGGCAGGGCATTCCGTTTTGTTCTCTCTCTCTTATTGGGTGTTGTGGTTTGCAAAAGAGTCAATGGGTGACAATCATGTTTGGTCTATAGTCTACTTTCAGCATGCTTCTGCCATCCTGGGAGGATCCTCCCAACACCTTTGTTTGGTGTTCCCTTCTCTATCTGAGCTCCCATTCCCCTTAGCATGTGTGGTTGGCCTCCAAGCCATGGATTAAATTCCTGGTACTAATCTCAGCCATTCTTGGGTGTTAGTCTCCTATTTTGTTACTTTATGTTCTCCAGATGAATGCAATCTTTCTATGTCTATCCCTTTCTTTCTGAGTCATTTTGCTTAACATGACATTTTCCATGTAGTACCACTTGTATGTAAATTTCATGACTTCGTCTTTTCTAACAGCTACATAGTACTCCACTGTGTAAATGTACTAAAGTTTCTTTAACCAGTAATCTGTTCTTGGGCACTCAGGTTTTTTCCAGATTCTGGCTATTGTAAAGAGTGCTTCAATGAACAAACAATTGCAGATGTCACTTCTAAACATCTGTTTAGATATCAGTCCTCCTCTG